AATCATTTTCTGATATCAAACATTTGAAAAGATAATTTAAGGTTAAAAAAAAGGACTAACACACATTTTTATTTGTTTCTTAATCTAACAACACAGTGAGAGTTGTATCATAAGATCAGTGAATACTTCAAAATCTGAGGATCCAACAACCTTTAATTAAGTAGTTATCACTTTACATACAAAAATAAAAAATGTTGCATTAACATTGGGAAATGTCTGTCACCTTGCTGGATAATTAATAATTACTTCAGAATTTGAGTTTGGAGAAAGTCAAGATCATAGATGAAACTTTCTTCCTTTACGTGTACTATTAAGGCTTCAACTGAACGCACACAGCCTATTTTTCAGTGAAGCTTATTTCCAATAAAAATATATAGAGCTGTAACTTTCAAGAGTTTACTTTGGAATCATATACATATATAGCAACGAAGAACTGTAAGAATAATTGGGGACTCCAACCAACCTGCTGCATAGGCTTCTGCAGCCAATAGGGAGGTCAAAGATCTCTTCCTGTGCCATCCCTCCTTCACATTTCTGTGCCTAGCACTTAAAAGGTTTATAAAACATAAATATGGTTGCTAATTACTTCATTAGTGTAATGTGTAGTTTTGTTTTCTGTGTGGGCTCACATTTCTGAAGACTGTTTACCTCCTGGGAAATACTACCACAAAGATCTAATTCAGATAGCTTTTGCGAAACTATTGTGGTTAAATATTTTGCATAGTTAAACAGGCTCCATAGTATCTTGGAAAAATGCTGGCACTACTGGAAGAATGTTCTGAGCTACAGCTTTGGATGGAAGCCTTGGCATGAATCCAGAAACTTCCCCCTGGCAAATATACTGATTCATTTTCTTTTAGTAAGTATTTCGGGATTGCATGTTCGTTTAGCACTTTATGGCTGTATTCACACAGCACATTTACCCAATGATACGTTTAGCACTTTATGGCTCTATTCACACAGCACATTTACCCAATGATACCTGAGCGATGGTTTATTCAATTGACTCAATGTTCTGATTCTCATAAATCACTGAATTAGAGGCTAACCATATAGGGTGGATTGTCCCAACATGCGCCTGATTAGTCTGCGATCTTTTGAGTCATAAGAACCAACTTAAGGGTGAAATGTTGGCTAAAGAGATTCAAGTTAGGTATCTGACTCTCACTTTTATCATGAATACAAGTAGATTTAGCAAGCCACTTTTGGTTACAATGCACCCATCCGAAATAGCAGTAGCTAATATTATTAATGCTCTAGTTCAATGGCTTGTTGCTAGAATCTCAACCAGATAATGTAGTTTATATACTAAAGATGTTTGAAACTTCATAAAAATATTCATAGTCATTTCCAATACTTTAACAATAGTGTGTAAGGGAGGGAGATGGGCAGTTAAGAAATATAAAAATACTGTATAAAAATAATTAAAGTGGGCTATACCATTATCAATAAATGGAACCCACAAAGGGTGGGAGCAGAACACATTCTTCTCCTGGCTTCCAATGCGCCACTGGTTTAATTTGCACCTCATATCAGCTCTGCTAATAGAAAAAGTGTCTCTACAGGCAGGGTTTAAAAAAAAAGGAAAGATGGTGTCCACAATCATGTTGAAAGTTTTACCCCTTTTAAATGTATTCTGCATGAAAAGGGGATGAGACGTCAATCTTGCAGTTGTGGTTGCCACCTTGAATGTTTAGCGCATTTGCATGTGCACACCTGTGCATGCACATACACACACTGTAGATCAGGGGTGGGATACTACAGGGTTAACTATCAGTTCGGTGATTTACAAGGTTCGGTGATTTATGATGTGCTTCCCTGGATGCTGCGAGCACGCACCTGTAAATCGTCATCAGCATGCTGTGTGCAGAGAAGCAGCCTTTGAAACAGCCCTCTTTTCCTGCTTTTTTAACTGCAGCTGTGCCTCGTTCAGCAGCTGAAGTTGAAAAATCAGGAAATAAAGGTCAGGTAAGGGCCCGGGCGGGCAGGTGGGCAAAAACATCAGCAGATACAGAACCAGTTCTATGTTTGCTGCTCTTCAGAGTTACCGGTTCTACAGAGGTAGACAGAACCGGTAGAAACCCACCCCTGCTGTAGATGCGCCTGCACATCTAGGAAAGTGAATGTAGATGTACCTGCACATCTAGGAAGGTGAATGATCTGGGGAAAACAATAAACAAGCAATGAAGAATGGAGAAGATGGAGAAAAACTAGATTTAGTCCCCATTCTTCTAGATTCCATTTTGTAAATAAGGCAGATTCTTGACTATTTTAGAGCTAAATTAATGACTCCAATTTTATGAAACGTACACATTTCCAGAGTAGCTAGGGTAAATCTATGTTCATAAATTAGGTTATTAAAAATGGATTTTAGTAATATTGAGCCACAACTACAAACTACCAAGGTGTGGTTCTCTGATGTAAAGATAGGCAACCTTTGGTTTATGGCTGTTATGTAATCCTGAAGCAACAAGCACCATATTGTTTGTTTGGGTTTTTTCCCAACATTTTTTAGATGGTAGTAAGAATGGGTGGTTTTCTTCCTCTAGGAAGAAAACTATATTCTTTCTGACCCTTAAAATCCCCACAGCCACCTCAAATAGTTCTAAATGAGTCAGCAACATTTAACAATTGATTTGCTAAGTTTCAATAACATTTTTTCCGGACACATAAAGAGGAAGGGAAGGAGGGAAGGGGAAATGGGAGTACTTTGCTTTCCAAAGATTTCTTATTTGCCTTTCCAAGATTAAATCTCCATCGACGCCAGGAAAAGGTTGGGAAAGGCCATTGACACCAATTGCAGCAGTCTATCAGCCATCTCACATAAAGTTGTCCATCAACATGGCTTAGTCCAATACATAAACCAGTCTTATTCAAATTAGTTACAAAGCTTCATGCTCCACATGGCACATTTGCCAGCATAAACACAGCTGGTATGAAGATACAGCATGGAACCCGATTTTCCCAAGCCACTGGATTACTTAATAAGATATTCTAATTAATTACGGAAGGAAGTCTTAGGGACAGAAGGTTTAAATTCTTAACACTTCTAACTTTTGCCAATTCAAAATGCTACTCTGAATACATAGAGTTGGCAGGTAAATTACATCCTCACTGTTCAAGTTTAGCTCCATTAGGTGAACATAGCAGTAGAAACCAGCACAAATGTCAGTCCCTGTAACTAAAGGCTTACTTTAAGCCAGTCTCTGCAGCAGATGAGAATAATCTAAAAGTGCATCTAGGACATTTTAGGAAAATAAAATCTATTAGGATTAAATAGATTTTCTATACATTTTATTTATTTACATATTTGTTAGATTTATGCTTGCCTTTTCTCAGGGGCTCAAGGTGATGTACATAGCATTGCATCCTCTTATTTCTCCCTGTAACCATCCTGTTGCTAAGGCTGCATCATAACAAAATGACTGGCCCCAAATCATCCGGTCAATTTCCATGGTAGAGAGTGGACTTGAACCAGGACTCATCAACCCCAGTTCAACCACTTCATCAGAACACAACCCTGACATTTGTATGAAATTAATTAAGAGAGGAATTTGCTTTGCTTTCATCTCTTCAAAATCTCTGAAGTTTTCTAAGAAAAATTTACAGGGATTAAAAAAGATGCTTTTAAAAACAAAACAAAATGAATTTAAGTTAAATCTAGTGCAGCTCTTTAAATGATTTACTTTCCTCCTGAAAATGTCAGAGGGCATTTCTTGCTTTTGATTCATTCAGAGCTTTCTCAGAACTAAGCTCTGTGTTATTAACAGAAAGCATTGATGTGAAACAGTGTAGCAGGGCTGAGCTGCTAATCAACAAAAATATGCTGATAAAAGCTACAATTAATGCACAGCTCTCAAACGAACACAGATGCAGAGATTCAATTGTGATATAGGAAATCATCAAGCTGAGTGAGGAGTATATTGCTCTGATAATGGAGCTAATCATCCTTGGGTGCTCTCGAAGACGTCCCTCATCAGCAAGACTCTCTTTCCTGAATTGAAACAGACCTTTGCTGTGGACTGACAGCAGTGGCAGTTTCTATCAATGTAGTAGTAATCTATTGCCAGTGTTTCTCCCAACAAACTTTTTCTATTTTTGGGGGTTCATTCCCATCCATTCATCATTCCCTAAGTACATTTCCATTCCATCTGCGAAGCGGAGAAACAACCTTCCCAAGGAGCCCTCCCGCCTTTTTGTCTTTTCACTAATGCTGACAGAATAACAGCTCCCTAATTTAGAACAGCTCTCAGGACTGTCAATGTTTTTTTAAGCCTCCTTAAAAATCTTAAGAGAGGAAAAGTCTTTTGTATCACTAAGTTTCTGGATGTGACAGCTTCTGCCATGTTCGGTGCAAATTCATGGAGCCATGGAAGTTGTTGAGTTTAATATTTAAAATATTGAGATACTAAGGTGAAATACTAAACCTGTTATCTTTTTCCCTTCTATACCTACAATAAAGTGAACCTCAGTCTGGGGACAATTCTTACCCTTACCTATCCAAGCCATCTTTGCAGGAATCTCTTTACCTCCCATTAATTCTTTCTACAACCAGGTTTAATAAATTCATCCTTGGCTTAAGCCCCACTTCCTTTTCTTTGTGGATTTTTAAGTCAAGGTCCACGTTTGGTAGTCAGTGCTTATAGGTGACTGCAGTACATCTGTATGACAGATATGAATTTTCCATCTAAAAGCAGATGACGATACCGAGCCCACTTTGGCTGATCTAGAAATTGAAGCATGGCTGGTTCTAGTTTGTTCCAGATGGCTGAGGAACATCTGGAAAATCTAAACTGGGTGGGGTGGGATGTTGTAATTGATTTCTTCTAACCTGATCTTTTCCAAACTGGTCTCTCTAGGTATGTTTGGATTACAACTCTTAAAACTCCAGCTATTCTAGGAACTAAGAACTGTGGTGGTAATTTGGTGGACCAGTTCTAACATCACTTTTAATGAACAAATCATGCCAGATGTTAACATTAATTCTGCGAAACTTGTACCTGTCATAGTCTCCATTGCACAAGGCTCGCACAGGGATAGCAAATGATTGCCATACTGGATTCAGAGTGTTCTTCACCACTTCAGTTTTATGACAAATGGTAAATCTAGAAAGATACATAATGTCCATTTAGTTATAAGTTAATTATCAGAAATTGAAGAATGCCTTGGGTTGGACAACAATAGAGAAGAAAGGAAAAATCTCATTGTTTTTTGAAATATGCTTCTCCAAATCACCATGGACAATGAAAATTGGCATTGGGTTGGATCAAGATAAAAATGGATCACTTTAATAGCTGCAAACACTGGCATTCTCCAAGCGCTTGCAGCAGAGCACCAACTTCATGCAATATTAGCTAACATTTTTCACAGAGGATATAAGTATTTCCTATTAAAATTATACTTTCATTAGCACAAGTAGTGCAATATCCATTCCCACAGAGAGAAAACTTGCTGAAAGCAGAACAAACTATATTGGAAATCAGTTTAAAGCAATACCCAGCAATATAAGGCAATATCTCTAAAAAGGAGAAGCTTGCGTTCTCTCAAACAAAGAAGGAGATTTTTTTTTTTTCCCAGGCAGGGCCTGTGCTTTTAAGAAATAATCTGCTGGGAGCCATGTTCCAGTAATGACCAGAGCCAAAACTGGGCAGATCACTCTTTTCTTCTCTTTTTCTAATTAGCTCAATTTTCCATGATGTCCATCCTTGCTCCTACCCAACCTGCTATTGGAAGAAGGACAGATCATTCTTGCTACAGATTTAAAGTGATCTTTTGCAAAGATCCTCTGATGTTTAAGGCTACATGACTCATAGACATGAATTACACCAATCTAGCATTCTGATCATCCTTGCTGTAATTTTTGGGGGGCATTTCAATGAGAGTTTGCCTAGCACAGTGATAGCCTATCTTAGCTCTAGACTCCCCAACTGTCAGATTTTGATTTTGGGAATATGGATCTCCACCCTGTTTAAATAAAAAAAAAATGTTACGGTCTAAGCCTGGGAATTTGGATGCAAACCAATATTTTATTTTGGCATCAGCCTTGCACTTTGAAAATTGAGGAAAATGTTCTCAATTTCAAGGAGATCTGACTTCCATTTACCTATTTAATTATTCTGAATGGTCAGCTAGGGAATTGTCTTGATATTAGTTAACTTTCACCCAGACCCTTTCTATTAAACACAACATCTCATTTCACTTCTTGCTGGTTTAATGAACAACTTCAGGAATATTCATAAATCATCTTTTTAAAATGATCCTGAAAATTTAGCATACTTAAGTCTTTTTATTTTCTCCTGTTATCAGCTAAAAAAATTAATCAACACAGTTTTTTTACTTGAACTGGTCCAAAAAAAATATTTCCAACTCACAAGAAATGTTTGGTCAATTGACATGGTGGCCATCATAGTATGATGACACATAAGAACACATAAAGCTTAAATCACACAATCATAGCCATCATCTTGATTTTTTTTTTAGCCACATTCTATAGATACCCTAATTGTTAAGACTGCAAAACTGGAAGAATGCTAAAAAAAACCCAAAACTCTTATCCACACTGAGTTTAATAATCCAAGCCTCACCTAGTCAAGTTTTGTTTTTGATGTACTCTCAGACTGATGGTCTTTCCAATGGCTGTATTTTTGGATGGAATGTGAGATAAAGAACATTTAAGAAGAAGGGACCCATTGTTTTGGTGTCAAGGCAGATTATATATGGCTACAATAGTCTTGTCCATGATACGCATTAGCCTGGACAAATTCTTTATATGAAGCTTTTAAAAGTTTGCTTACTAAGAATAAGCCTAAGCAGAGAGCAGCAACCAGCTACACTGATTGACTTAAACAAAACCTGTTGGATCTGACTGGTATTTGAAAGAATGATCATCAGAAAATGCAGACTTATAAGCTAGACTGGGAAATCACAAACAAAATTCCAGAATAACCAGCAAAGTATTAGTGGAAAATTTCACTGTGTGCTAGTGAAGAGCCAGTTAAAATGGGGCAAATCTGTTCCCAGAAAAAAAACCACTTGTACTCACGTTCCATCTTCGTTACTTCTGAAGAATACCATGAAAGGGTCTGATTTCCCAAAGAAGTCTTTCTTGTCCAGCTTGTTGGCACAGAATTGCATTGTGGCCACATCCTTGGAATTGGAAGCAGAAAATATATTGTCTAACAGCATCGCTGCTGAGCTAACAGAGCAATTTTAAGAAGTTGTACACTAAAGCACTAAACATAAAACAACAGAGTTTGCAATTAACCCAATAGGAAATTGAAAAAGAAAGAATGAGGCTCATCACTGAAGAAATTCTAATCCAGTGTATAACTGAAAGGACTATAATAGCATGAGCAAGGCTTGAAAAATCTGGGAAAGCTATCAGCTTGGCATCAAACAAGGATACTGCACCTACAGCTAAGATTTTTAATCATAGACTTTGGTACTTGGGTATTTTCTTTCCCCATCACCAGTCTCTTGAACATGCACTGAAGCATGTTAAACTTTACAGAAGAGTTACAGCTTGCCAATGATTTTCGTAGTAGATAAATCATCCAATACACTTTTCACTGGCATTTAAATCAATCCAGGCCATTAGGATTATAATGGAACTAGCTACTTTCATGATATAAACAACTTCATATGTTTATCAAAGCATCACTTCTGCTCTGTAAACACACACACACAAATCTTGTTAGGATTGGCATTCTATAAATACAATAAACATATTTCACTTGCTAAAATATCCCCTGATTCACCTATAAGTTGCATTTTGATTTGCAAGAATGTGTGGATTTTATGTAACGTTTCCTCTACTCTGCATTTTATGCGTATTTTTTTCCCTAATGTAGACAAATCACTCCTGGAGCACTCCTAGATCCTCTGTACATTGCTGTTAAATCAGGTCTCCCCAATCTCTTACCTATTTGCCACAGTTCAAATCATCCTGTGGATTAGGTCCAATGCTCAATTTTATCAAAGTAGCTGTGATTTTGTGCTCTGAGATATTTCTCAATTAGCTCTGTATCATCTACAGATTTGATAAGTATGCCTTCCATTGCATTTCTAGGCTATTTATCTAGATACGGAGTAGCAGGAGGCCAAGGATAGAGTCCTGGGGAATTTCATTTAATCCTTCCCACTGGGATAATACAAAACTACTCACAAACTACTTGGATGTGATTGTTCAGCCAGTTAAAGACCTAACAGACTAGCTCAGGGGTCTCCAACTTTGGCAACTTTAAGACTTGTGGACTTCAACTCCCAGAATTCCTCAGCCAGCTTTCCTGACTGAGGAATTCTGGGAGTTGAAGTCCACAAGTCTTAAAGTTGCCAAGGTTGGAGACCCCTGATCTAGCCCACATTTATCCTTTCTGTCCACAAAAATATCATGAACATCCGTGACAAATGCTTTTCTGAGATCAAAGTATATTACATTTACGTACATTGCATCCTCAGTCTTTCAAACTATTCATGTTTCATGAAAAGAGGAAAGACCAGAACAGTATTTCTCTACGTTGGCAACTTGAAGATATGTGGATTTCAACTCCCAGAGTTGAACTGAATATATCTTCAAGTTGGAATAGAAAGACAGCACACAACTAACAATCACAGTTAACTCCTGGTAACGATAACATCCTTTTAAAAATGTTTATAGCCATGCTTCCTGACAATTTATTCAGCAGTGATGCTAAATAATAGGTGCATATTTTCTCAGGTGCTCCCTCTACCATTTTGGATATTGGTTGCTCTTATCCAGGCTTCCAGCACTACCAGGAATTTTCAAAGATCACAATCAGTCGGCAGGAGTTCATGTATAATACATTTTTTTTCCATTTCATGCTCGCCAGGACCAACTAATTTGGCTTGAACTATCTGCAGATACAACATAAGATATTCTTATGTTAAGGAAATAATAGCCTTGCTGTTGTAAGCCAAATGTTTCAAGCTGTAAAATATTGAAGATCACACTGTGTCTTGAAGTGTCATGTTAGAGATGAAAAGTCAGTTTGATGAGACTTTTTCTACCAGTAGGGAACCATGAAAGGAAGTCAGAAGAGATTAGTACCCCACTTATCAATCCTTTCTGATTCCAACTCAAGGCATTTTCGTTCTACAAAATTCTCTGCCAGTGGTGCTAGAGGCAGACAGCAGTGGTTATTTTCCAGGAGAAAATGAGTGAATTACTATGTGTGTATGAACACTGCATTTTTACAAAGGTACCATTTTAACTGGGAGAAAAATGTGAGTACAGCATGCAGGGTAAAATAAAAAGGGGACAGTCAGGATGTCTTTGCTTCTTTGAAGAATTGTTATTACCTAGTAAGGCATTTCTAATTTTCTTTTCTTTTTAATTTTTATTTGCTAACCTGGACTTCATAGATTATAAACAAATACCTAGGGTTGTTTGAAGCTTAAGGTGCAGAAAAAGACTAAAAAAAAACACAGATCAGAAATGTAGATGGTAGAGTTCAAAAGAAGCAAAAATCCAGGCAGGTTGACTTATGAAAACACAAGCAAGCTTCCTTATCTCTGCTTGTGGTATATGTTTTCATGCTTCCTAAGGGAGTTTGGAAAGCATTAAGAAATGGAATATCACTGCTCTTTCTGGTTAATGTACCTTGCAAATCATACAGGAAAATGCATAAGGAATGAAGCATTGAACTTGCACAACAGGGTGACAAATAGCATTAATATAAGATATATCTCAGGAGTTCTTATGTCTCAGGAGCAATGATATAAGAATAAGCACCCAGGATGCAAGAATACACAAAATGCCTCTTTCCATTTAAGAAAGTTGCCCTTCATCCTAAAAATATCCTTGCGGATTAGAGATGGAAGAGAATCTTGATCAATTTGCATTCGGAGATAAATGTAATAAATTTACCCTTCCTAAATCAATATGGAACTAGGATCCAATTATCCTATGATATTAACACTTTTCAGAATCTTGCAGTACAATCTCCCACATAAAAAATAATATGAAAAATGTGTATTTCAGGGGGATATGAATATGTAAAATACCTTTAAGGGAAACACCTTATATAAATTAGCAAATAATCAGACCTTGTTCCTTGCCTTGTGGATGTGCTCACTGAAAACAAATATCCTAGGGAAGATCATTAGAATGACTCCTTAAGGCTGTTGGCTCTCCAGTACAATGGTTTCTTCACTGACATTGTTTGAGATCAATGAATATGGATGAATCACATGAGCTTCAGTGGAAGAAGCATCTTGCAACATTATCTAGTCTCCTTAGCAGGTGCAACACAGCAGTTTCTTGTCCATTTGACTGACCTCCTTTTCCAAGCTATAGTCATGAATAGACCTTTGAAGTTACAGTGATGTTAGTAAGCCACAGGCAGGAAGATATGGCTTTAGCAGAAGAAATAGAACCCCTTCCTGCTTCTAATCATCTTCTTTGTGCAAGGGAAAGAGTTAAGCCAACTTCTAGCACAGGCTGCAGGACTGCTCATGTAAAGCTAATTGCTTAGGTCTCGGTTGATTGTGATGGAAAAGGGAGTTAAAATTCCCTTTACAGCACAACAGATGGGCTGCTTTGAATGCATTCAAGCATACCCCTGAAATTCTGAGTGGATCTTATGTCTAAAGTAGCATGCAATAACAAAGGTTGTGCATTTTGTGAATTGAAAGAGTAAATACAAACATGCAAAACTTTCCATATATGATACTCTAGATAATATACAGGGCGTGTGTATCAGCATTCAAGCACAAAAATAAGCAATAGAGATAAAATACAACATGATGTAATTCACGTAAACTTTCACCATGTACTCTACCATGGTATGTGCATCCATTTCCACAGATATACATGCAAAACACTTGTCCATGGACGTATGGGTGAGAAAGTGCTGATCTGCATGCATTTTTGAAGGCATGGGAATTTAACACAAGTTATGTCTGAGGACAAAGAATTGCACAAACATGTGTAGGAGAAGAAATTAGGATTTTATCCCTCTTGTAGATGTCAGACTTGTGGGCGAGATGAGGTGAGATTGTGATATCGTTTGTGTTAACTTCTGTATGGGGAGAAAAGGAGATTGAAAATGTCTGGCTTTGCTGGAATTTAGACAGGCTGATCTTTTCCAGAAAAACAGCCACGGGTTTGTTTTGCTCTCTTTGGTTTCAGCAACAAATTGGCTGTGGCTGTAAAGAGATAATAAACCTCTACTGGCCCACCAATACTTGACTGTTGGGAATCACCCAAGCATTGTCTCTTTGTCTTATATGTCACCAACACAACTCAGCCATAACTCTTAAAGTCCCAGATGCTCTGAACCTTTTCCTTGGAAGAAAGCATGTTTTTCTTCTGTCTATGGCAAAAGCAAGCTTGAGGGCATCTTTTAGGTTAATTTACTGTAATGGAAACAGGCTGTGAAAAAAATCTATAGCAGCTTTCCCCAGATGGAATAAACTACAACTATATATTTAGCTTGACCAGCTCTCAGACAAGAGTGAAACTCTGCCTTTTATGATGTGGGTCCACTGAAAATAATTGTTCCAAATTGATCTTGTGAGCTTCCTAACTAAGTAGAGGATGAAATCGTGGCCTTTCTATTCTTAGTGCAGCACTCCAACACAATCTCTGTGCCTTCGAGTCAACACTAATCCCTGGCAATGGCTTGGACTAGTAGTTTTTGTGACAAGATTTCAAAGTAGTTTGTCTTTGTGTACTTCCTAGGGCTGAGAAAGAATGACCGGCCCCAAATCGCACAGCTAGCTTTGTGACATAGTCTGCAGGTTTCCAGCCTAGCGCCTTAACGGTTGCACCGAATGGATCCTCTATTGCCTGTCTGTAGCACAGTTCACTATATATCCCCTACATCTTGCAGATATTATTTCATCCAGATGAAGAATGAAACATTCCGTCAATACTGGATATATCACAGCACACCCATTTAACTCTAATATGAGATCTACTATCTCCCAGGGGACTTCTGGGTGTGCTGTGATATATAACAAAAAGGAAAGCAGGACTTGCCCCACACCCTAATATTCATGCTCTAATTTCCAGTGCCATGATAACCTGGGATATGAAGTTACACAACTCGATAGATTTATATCTGTTTCTCTTCAAAAACCCTGTTAGCTGTTGAGCCCATAATCTTCCTTTCTCCATTTTTTAAAAAGATATTCATAAATTTTTGGTAATCATCTATTATTATCTTTTAAGCAGAACAAATCTCAGCTTCCAGCTATAAGAATTCTTCAGGTACTAATTTGACTGTAATCTTGGTTCATGTTCCCAGAATTATTATGGGAAATATTCAGCAAATAATTACATAGATTTCCCTCTTGGAGAAGCAGGGTAAAATGCCTTGCTGCAGCCTCGTGATTCCCTGGAACTGCCCAGTTTACTTTTCTGCATATATTTTATTTCTGCTGATCTACAAGTGAGGGTTCATCTAATTTACTTCAGCATGGTACATCCTGCTGAGAGTTCTACCAAGATCATGTTGCTGGCCACTATCAAAGTATTTAGCTAGGAAAGTATATTATACTTCATTTAGAACTAGAACTTTTTCTGCTACAGCCCTGCCTTGTAGAATATTCTCTACTTGAAGATAAGAATAGCCCCAACGCTGTTGGCTTTTCGCAAAACTTCAAAAACTTGGCTATGTAACCAGGCCTGGAGCTTGGAATGTGTTAAGGGTCTTGTTACTTGGCTTCAGTATTAGTTGATTAACCATCATGGCTAATGTTTCTACTTAATTATTTTGTAGATGTTTTCATTGCTGTACAGTTTTTAAAATTGTTCAAGTGTTTTATAATTTTAGAATTGTAAACCATCCAGAATCACTTGGTTGAACTGAGTGGCTATAGAAATTGAATAAATAAATTAGTAAATTTCAATGGTTTTACTAAATATCCATAGGTCTGTATGTATACATACAGCTAGCATTTTCCCCCAGAAGGGGAAGAGATCTCCAGCATTCTAGTATTGAAGTTGTGTGGATCAGGACATATAATAAAAACTTTTAAGAATAGCAGTTTTTAGATGCAACTTGCTTAAATTAATACCTTATGTGTGATTCTGCATCACCAAAAATAATATCAGAGTCTCTCATTATCTTCCGCAACATGATATCTCTGAGTCGGATGCAGCATGGCATATCTGTGTAACTTTAACAAAACAACTTTCTAAACCATCAGGGACTCCATAGCACTGGGGCTTTTGAATTCAAAGGCATATTTTCTTCTTTTGACGAGCTTTTTGAAAGCAAAGACATGAACAAAAATTCAAAGATAAAAGAATGACTCACCCTACAATTGCCCAGTTCTTCAGCTGAGAGAATGATGGTGCCACACTTTTTCCCCGGAATTTCTCTATAATAAGAGACAAAATAGTTTATGAAGTGGGTAGAAAGGGAAGGAAAGAGACATCCATCTTTGCCCCCAATGCAAAATAATGTCAAATTTATTTTTTCGGTTCCATTTGCAGTGTCTCCTTTTATGAAACCCCAAAATGTCAGTAAGTTTGAACTTTCCATACCTGTAACTCCTGTTATACATTCTGCAGTGGAGTAGAAGGAAGAAGGGATAGCTTTGAGGAGCAGGCTAAACAGCCACCACCAAGCCAAAGGCCAGATAGAGGATGTGTCAATGTAATATGTAATATGAGTAAACAAACCCATAGTTCACATGAAGACACAGGGAGGAAAGGGGGGAAGTGTGTTCAGACTTGCTCAAATTTTGTCATTAGTGCTGACAGTACTGTGTTTTGATTAAGGCTTCGATAAAGCACACTTTCAATGCAGCTCCATGAAGCATAAAGGTGCCCTGTATTTGGTGCTGTGAGAAAACAACCTATGAAATCAGCCCCAGACAATCTCTGATGAATGTGTGTGTATGCAAAGAAGATATATTTGTCAAAGCAAAGCAGCCGGGCTAAGCAAGATGGCCCAGCATAGAGTTGAAGTGTTTAACTTTTCCCTGTAAAGACACTGCCTTAAAATCCAAAGCTCCATTTCCATAAAGTGATACGGGGCCACATAACTCAATTTAGGAGTGACTACTGAGTGCCTATTTAGATGAGGATAGTAGGTTTTATTTTTAGTTTAGCTTACTTTATTGTCATTGCACCTCGTACAACGAAATCAAACACCATCTTCAGTGCACATCATGACCATGACCATGAAAATAAACACAAACACACATCCTTCACCCTTCACACATTGAACTGGAAACCCCCGACACCACACCAACACTGCACTATACAGCAGAATTCAAAAGAGCTACTGCCTACCCCTATAAATAGTAATAAGTGTGTTCTTTCATGTTCTGTTTATTAATTACTTTACTATTGTATTGTTTGGATTCTCTTATAAAATGTCTCAGTAACCCTGTACTTCTTTCAGCGAACTCTGGTCGGCGGATTAAATAAACTAAGACATCCCAAAGTATTTAGCTTTTTCAAGCATTGGACCTGTTCTTAGCCCTCTTTGAAATATTGTATGCATTTCTAGAGCTTTCAATTACTCTATTATTGATGGTTAACTTTGTGTGTTTCTATGTGGAATTGGTTGTTGGCTTGCTGCAAGCTATCATGGACAGTATGCCCAAAATTGACATTGCAAAAATATTTTAAATATTACAAATTAAAATGAGTTCTTTCAAACATTAAATACGTTCAAAGGTGGTATAAAAATTGAGAACCAAAGAAAGTTTTTTTCCCAAGTTAAAACTATATGAGGGTTTGGGACAAATTAAACCATTGCCTGAATGTACAGCAACTGAACTGAAATATTTATTTGAATGCTCATATCAAGTTGATTACTGAGAGGTATCACTCAAGATAGAAAAAAGCTAAGAAAAAAAGCAGTTTACCTGAAACCCCCTTTTTTCTTTTTAAAAAAGTGTCAGTTTTATGATTTTGTCCATGTAATTCCACAGACAGATGATGTCTTGGATAATGATGGCTCAAAACGGATTTAATCTTCAGAGCTGATGACAAGTCTATTTGTTCATGGTGCTTGGAAATTAGAAGTATGACAGTGAATAACTAATATGATCTTTCTCAGGCCAGAAATATAAATCACATAAACCCCTAAATTATATCAAAAGGATTACCCTACTTATGACTCCTATTATTTTCATTCACCAGTAGATGAAATAAGGATTGGGTTTAGAAAAATGATATGGTTATACAAACAGATTCAACTAATGATGAATGGAAATGTGAAAACATTCTACTTCTTATTCTATATAGCGATTGATGCCTAATAATCACAACTCCAAACACTAAACTCTCTTCATAATCAAAGTCAGAACTAAAGTGGTCAGTATAAACAATTTGCATTACTTTCATAGGCAAGGTTTGCTTTTAATTATCATCCCTCTGATAAATGGCAAATGGAGTGATGGACTCAAAATCCTAGTATGTGGTAATGGCCACCAACTGTGAAGAGTTTTTCCCATGTATCAATTTGAATGTGGCCCAGCAGGTGGCAGCACATAGCCAGATTTGGTTGATCTCAAATCCACTAAGAAGAACTGGATGCAATTCATTCTTGGATGGGAGACCACGAGAATGTTTTGAGATCCCAGGCAAGATTGGGAAGTCAAAACATTCCTCGAAGGAAACAATGGCTTCTATATGAACAGAAACTATCTGGAGTTGTCCATGTAGTAACATGACCTTAAGCAAAACAAGGCAACTCTAGTATTACGTGCTGGTTGATGAAATAGATGTCATAAAACTTTGCTACGATTTTGGATATTATTCCTTATAGGTTGTTATTGTTTACTTTCTGTTTCCTTTCACCACCACTTTTCTTTAAAGGGCATCTTTCAATCTGGAGCTGTCCCAATCAAAGTTCCTCCGAAAGATGGGAAGAGCCTTTTTTGTTCATTCTGTTCTGACCTAGGCTTCCCAAGATCATGAAGCAGACTCCTCATCCCAATAAAACCCCTTTTATTTAAGTTAAAGTGAATTCCACTTCAGCAAAGTCCTGGAAAACAGTCTTTCATGACATTTCAGCCTTTATCAGGCTTGGAGAGTTGCCAGGCTGATATCTTCTATCTGACACACTGTAGCAGCAATTACTTGGCAAGAAGTTAGGAGCAGATCTTCACTCTAATGAATTGAACTAATTGTCCCCTGCAAACGCCACTCCCCTTTCGTTCCTCTTTATTCCCTATGAAACAAAGGGGCCATTCACCATTCACCTGAGCTTTTACTCCCGAGTCAACCCTTGTTCCTTAACTGTTCCTTTCTCCTGGCAGCTCTGCACATGCATACATTGGGAACAGGCGCCAGCTGTTCTTCTGCCCCACTGATCTCTGACTCTGAAGGCAGCTGATAACTGTCAGAAGACCCTGGCCACATCTCTGCCTCTGACGCAGAGCACTTGTCAGAGCCTTCCCCGGACTCCACGACTGGCCCATGTTCCTCCCCAACTTCCTCACTATCCGATTCTGCCACCAGCTTGCTGGCTCCTGGCAGGCCACAAGACACTCATTCATATTACAGGGCTACCACTCACCTGCTGACTGTGGTTGTGTGTGTGTGTGTGTGTGTGTGTGTGCTAAACTTGTCTTATATTTCCATATCATAGAAAACACTGTCATGCAGTTGTAGGGTTGTAGTTGGACATATTATGTATTTGAAGGGAAGCCAGTATCAATTAGCCTGTCCACACATATCAGCAGGGGTGACTTCCAGTCGGAATGGGATAATTCATGGCCAATTCACCACAGCCAGCTCAGCACAGGACAACTTGCCATGACCAACTTGCCATGGGACAACTCATTGCATGACAATTAAACAATTCAATTTAATTATTTAAAATAACTAAAACATTTTAATTTTCATCATTTCACATTTTATTTTGTCCCTCCTTTGCCATCTTTTTTTAAATGATTCTGATCCACTATTTCTTCAACAGTAGTGTAACTCTTGTCTGCAATGAGTTTATCAGTGACAAGTTGGCCATGGCAAGTTGCCCCATGGTGAGTTGGCCACGGTGAGTTGTTGTAGACCTCCCAGTAGCCCATACCTGGCTTTTTCCTTAGAAGAAAGATTCAAGAGATGTCCATGTTTATTTACTGTATTTCAGCTTTCTATTGCAGATTTAATAAAAGAAGAGCAATTCAAGACCACAAGGAATTCTAAATCAAGCTTAGAAGATATTTTGTTAATGTTATTGTCTGGAAAAAACTCTCACCTCTGAATGTTTTTTTAGACAACACATATCTAGAATTGGCCACATGCTTAACAGTCCATTTATTTGGACTTCTGGTTTGGGCTTCTTCGGTGACGGACCGAAACAATCCATTTATTTGCCAAATATATGCGACTATTCAGATGACTTTGTGAACATACATCTTTAAATACTGATGACTCAATATTCAAGATCCTTGCTCAATCAAGATCCACACTGGACATTATGTATTCTGGAAGGAGAAGAAGCTCAACAGATTTAACATTACCTGATTTGAATATTAAATGGTGAGGTGTGCCTTCCTCCTCTCCCTTCTCTCGTGATTTATTAATTGTGTTATGAGCACAAATGAGACAAGAGTTGTTGAGTTCTCACTAAAAACAACAAGAATGATAGAAAGAGCCAACAATAATAGGCTGAGCTTGCCAAGATCAAATCAGAGCTATTGTGGACTAGGCTCAGGATACCACTGTAGGAATTTTTATAAAAAAAAAATTAAGTGGATATCTCATAATTCAGTAAGAAAGGCTTTACTTCCTCACACAGTTTATATTGATACTTTGAAGAGGTGGAATGCACCAATCCTTCGCTCTTTTCTAATCTGTAGGAGAGCTTAAATATGACTTACCCATTGGAGACAGATGGCATAGGCTTCCCAGTTTTGGAATGTAATGTAAATGCTCCCATTCTGAAAAAAAAGAATAAAACAGACTTAAAATGATAATGTAGTTATGTTATTCAATATATATGGCTCATATACCACATAAGTCATTCTGGGGGGCGAACACAGTTAAATATGTTAATATACAAATGCAAAATGAACATGAAACACAGTATATGAGAACAAAACAAAAAAGCAGCATTAAGTTCCACAAATACCACTTTTGCTCTTTTCACTCCACAACACCTTGCATGATTTTTCCCCCATTCTCAACTAATACATTATCATAACCCAAGGCTGGTTTGTTTTCTCATTTTGCACAGAGCACTAAAGACATTCAGCAATAAAATCACATATAATTCAACACTATAAACCAGAGATTGTCAGCTTCTTTTGAACCAATAGGCATTTCTGAAGAGCCTGTCATGGGTGCTCTCCTAAAATGGCAGTTGCAAAACGGTGAATTATCAAATGTGAATTACAGGTAGTCCTCAACTTACAAGCTACAACCATTACTGAGCCCAAAATTTATGTTGCTAAGTGAGAAATTTGAAAGTGAGTTTTGCCCCATTTTTTTCATTTTTCTTGCCACATTTGTTAGGTGAATTAGTTAAATCAGTAACGTGGCTGGTAAGAGAATCTGGTTTCCCCACTGATTTTGCCTGTCAGAAGGTTGCAAAAGATGATGACACGACCCTGGGACACGGCAACCATCACAAATGTAAATCAGTTGTCAAGCATCTGAATATAAATCACACGGCCGTGGGGATGCTGCAATGGTTATCAGTGTGAAAAATGGTCGTAAGTAATTTTTATAAATGCCATTGTAACTTTGAAAAGTCACTAAACGAATTGTTGTCACTTGAGGAATACCTGTACTCAGTATATATCTTATCATCTTCTTCCATTCTGCCCCCCCCCACCCCCCAAAAAATACTTCCTGCCACCTTCCTTCCAAAGTATTAAGGTTTGGCTATCCACCATTTTTATTTCCCAAGAATATCTATAGGAATTTTGCAGGATCAGAGACATCTTAGAAATTTTAAAAAATCATACTTTGATTTGTCAGATGCGAACTTCTCTAATCAAAAGGGTAAAAAAAGTGAGTTAGTGAACCTGATGGTGTCTAATAATCCCCATTCATAAATATTCCCAGATGAAATACAAACATAAACATCTGTATTCTTTGGCAACATCTTCACTACACATTGACTTCACTGAGATTCATTGGAATAGGAAAGTAAGAAACATCTGCTTAATTGTGATGTTTCTTATTTCCAGAAACCATCCATGCCCTATCCTTGATGACCACTTAAAACTCTTCTACCCCATCTATCTTGGCTTGAAAAGTGTTTGATATTTTTACATTTAACTTCCTTATGACTCTTGAGTCTGTCAGCTGCATTGTGCCTATGTTTTTTGTTATAAAACTAATCACATTTACTGATGATTGTCATTAGCAACTTTGGATGTGAGCTTGGTTAAGGGATTCAATGCAACATTCCACTTTTAAGGGCAGTCTGAGCTTGTCACTGTGTAAATTAATGCAGTGCGCATGTGTGAAACATTTTCTCAGTCTATATGGCTCAAGAAGCCATAAACTAACTAGATTCATTTAATATCCCAGGCTAAAATTTTTGTGACATCCCAGGCTAAAACGTTTAGCTAGTTTGTGATTATGCTATTGAATAAACCAATATCAAGCAGCATACATCAAAGACTCAATTCAGTGCAAGTAACTGAAATTGTAAAGCGAGTGATACAGAACTGCAAAAATTGATAAAAAAAACATTTTATAACAAATAACATGAGCCTCTGAAAGGATAAACAGAAATTCCAGTAAGATTTGAGTATGTTGCTTGAACACAAGCTGAAGTCATCAACTACAACATAAATCCAGAAGTGAAGTTCCCTTATTGGATCAGTAACACCTCCCAGTATGGAGTTATACAATGGACGAGAAAGGAGACTCTTCTGGCCATGGTGCCCTGAGACCTGTATTTGTTCATGAGCACTCACCCTTCCAGATTCTCCTTCTTTACAAAGATCCCCTGAGGTCATGTGCAGCACAGAGATATGATAATTGTAGAATCTGCATGCCTGCCAATGCTTAATACACAACCCTGTATTGCATGACCTTGATAAAAGGTCTCAGTTCTAGAATGTAAGTTTAGCAATGCTGGGCATTTTGCACACAGCAGGCACTTAATGTTGCCGGTCACATTATACCATTCAGCTATTCTGTATTCCTCTCTTTGATGAATTTCTTACAGAAGAAAAAGTAGATTAGATGCTGTAATGGCACTTCCATCTCCCCAACAAAATTTTTGCAAGGCATGTCAATTGCACCATAAAAATCCTTGCAAGCAGCACCTCTAGTCCTTATGTATACGGGAAAAGATAATCACTACAATGGGGTCTGAATTTTCCCCTCCAGCATCTCCCCTGGGAGCAACAATGATACCTTCTAAATTTCCTTGGCATGGGGCCATAGCTACAGAGACTGTGACTAATTCCCTTCTTTCATTGATACAGTTCCCTTGACAATATTTATAGAACTTGACTGAGGTTTCTTCTTCCTCCTCCTCCTCCTCCTCCTCCTTCTCCTCTCCTGGAAGGTTCAACAATTGAAGACGCTTCTTTCTGGCTGCCTCTGCTCATATATTCAGTCGAATGGGAGACAACTGGGGAAAAAAGTAGTTTCTACTGTCAGTGGGAGTGTCTTCCATTTCTTTTATTCATTTCCAGGATTGGTTCAGCAAATACTATCGGACTAGAACGGATTAAACCATTGTTTTCTTCTAATGGTCAATTTAATCAATAGGTATGAGGTACTAGTAGATAGGTACCACCTGCTAGGTGGCAGTCTCTGCAGCTAGCTACTAGGAACCTATGGTTTCAGGTTTATTATATTCATAAGCTGTGCTTTCTCCAGGAGCTCAAGACAGACATAGTACTTCTCCTTCCCCAACTTTACACCCACAATAGCAACCCTTTAAGGTAGGCTAAGCTGAGATAATACCTGTCCCAAAGTCACTTAATGAACTTCCATAGCTAAGGGCAGACTTGAATTTGGATCTCCCTAGTCTCAAAGTTTTCATGGAATCTGCAAAACTATCCAGCTGTTTTATTTTTCCCCTTCCTCTTTCATTCTGCTCCTTCAATGGCATAACCTAATACTCATTGTTTCCTCCCACCCCCCTTTGCAGTTTCAAAGTCTGAGGCTATGCAGGGATGGTACCATCAAGCATCACTACTGCTTATTTTACACATCATGTCAAACAGGCCTTACCAACTGACGCCTTCTCCTTCAAATGTGCTGATTTATAAGTTCCAGAATTCCCAGCCCACCAGACCAGTGGAAGTACTGAATTCCAACACATCTGGATAACACCAAATTGGGGACATGCTCTGAATCAAAACTTTGTAAGCTTTAAGTCCACATGTTCTTCCCATCCTACTTCCAGTGGGGCAATGAGGTGGAGAACAGGAGAAGCAATCCCTTCTCTATAAATGTTCTAAAGGTTTACTTAGCAAAAGCTATGGTTTGTTGAGACATATCATTAATTTTTGCCTAAATCTTCTCCAACTTGGACATCTTTCAAATGTGGGGACTTCAATTCCAGGAAACTATTCCAATGGCAATGCTGTCTATAGAAAATTTCAGACGCTGAAGTCCACAAATCAGAGTGCATTCAGTGTTGTTCCCGGATTCTGAGCCCAGCAATCAGGAACTCAGGTTAGATGTATCTCAGAGACCACAATGACTGGTAGGCGGGACTCTGCAAAATAAGCAGCGAGGCTTCCCCCATATAATACCATTCCCTTATTTAGCAATATGGGAGCAAATTCACCAAGGCTAGTTCCTGTTACTGAGCCCCAGAGAGGCTTATTAAGATTGTGATCACCAGGCTGCCTGAGTAACGACAGTGGCAAACGAGCAGAGATGACAGATTGCCCTAGCTGCAGTTACTTGACAGTGAAGCGTGGCAACCTTTCTCCTACCAGCTGGAGAGCACTGACTAACAAATTGCAGAGACAAAGGACATGGCTTTGCCAGCTGCCATTTCTCTAGCAAAAACTGAAAATTTATCCAGACCTTGCCATTAACTCATAAGGCTCAAACCAATTAGTCTTCGGTAGCACTGAAGGAACTGCTGAGAAAATGACTGCTCTACTGAACATCTCCCCAATTACCCACACCAGCCTTCCTCAAACAGATGCCCTCCAAGTGGGTTGAACTTCAACACCACCACCACCCCCATAGTCACCCAGCAAGACTACAGAAAGTTGCCCGACACTGGGATTAATGAGTCTATTTGGGAAAGCAAATTCTGCCTGGATTGTTGCAAATTTGTACATATTAAGCAGTGGTGGGATTCAAAAAATTTTTTACAACCGGTTCTGTGGGCGTGGCTTGGTGGGTGTGGCTTGATGGGCGTGGCAGGGGAAGGGTACTGAAAAATCTCCATTCCCTCCCCACTCCAGGGGAAGGATACTGCAAAATCCCATTCCCTCCCCACCCCACTAACCTGCTTTCCTGCTCCGTTCTCCTGTGCAGGGCAACAAAAGAAGACCCAGCCAATCAGCTGGGACTCGGGAGGCAGAGAATAGATGGGGGCAGGGCCAGTCAGAGGTGGTATTTGCCAATTCTCTGAACTACTCAAAATTTCCGCTACCGGTTCTCCAGAACTGGTTAGAATCTGCTGAAGACCACCTCTGATATTAAGGATCTGGTGAATTGTACATGCAGGAGCAGGACCAAAGAAGCTTATCTTCAGTATAGTCAGATTTCCTGCAGAACTGGGCTCAGGGAAGAAGGAAGGGACAGGTTCTGAATCACTAAAACACGGAAATGGCTAACTGTAGAAGACGGGAAAGAAAAGAAAAGAAACATATTTGCAGAAGATGTATTAAAAAAAAAACCAATTTCAGGTGCAATCAAGATAAGCTATGTGCAAATGGTTGGCCAGAATCTTCTCAGGCTTCCTTTTTCATGGACTGAAAGGACAACTTGAATTTAAGAC